CTTTTATTGTGCACCTGTGTAATGATCTTGCTGTTTAATCAGCTTCTTGATATGCCACGCCTGTCAGGTGGATGGATTATCTTGGCAAAGGAGAAATGCTCACTAACAGGGATGCAAATAAATTTGTGCACAACATTTTAGAGAAATAAGCTTTTTTTGCATATGGAAGATTTCAGGGATTTTTTATTTCAGCTCATGAAACATGGGACCAACACTTTACATTTTGCGTTTATATTTCTGTTCAGTGTATTTAACAAATGATTTGTACACAGTGCTAGTTTCTATCATTATGACACACAACTCTACAATGCATTTTTGATCAGATAGGACAGTTCTTTCATTATTGTATGACATTATTTTGAATGAAAACAGAAAATGACTATCCTAGATAACAAAGTACAGTGCCCTCAGAAAGTATTCACACCCCTTTACTTTTCCTAATTGTATTGTGTTAGAGCCTGAATTTAAAATGGATTAAATAGAGATTTTTTTGTCACTGGCCTACACACAATAACCTATTATGTCAAAGTGGAAATATATTTCTCAAAATTGTTATTAATTAATGAAAAAGGAAAAGCTGAAATGTCTTGAGTCAATAAGTATTCAACCCATTAGTTATGGCAAGCCTAAATACGTTTGAGTAAAAATGAGTTGAATGACTACCTCATCTCTGTACCTCACACATACAATTATCTGTAAGGACCCTCAGTCGACCAGTACATTTCAAACACAGATTCAACCATGAAGACTAGGGAGAAGAAAGAAAACCCATTGATATCCCTTTGAGCATGGTGAAGTTATTAATTACACTTTGGATGGTGTATCAATACACCCAGTCACTACAAAGATACAGGCGTCCTTCCTAACTCAGTTGTCGGAGAGGAAGGAAACCGCTCAGGGATTTCACCATGACGCCAATGATGACTTTAAAACAGTTACAGAGTTTAATGGCTGTGATAGGAGAAAATTCAGGATGGATCAACAACATTGTAGTTACTCCACAATACTAACCTAATTGACAGAGTGAAAAATAAATATATTCCAAAACATGTGTCCTGTTTTCCACAAGACACTAAAGTAATACTGCAAAGAATGTGGCAAAGCTATTTACTTTTTGTCCTGAATACAAAGTGTTATGTTTGGAGCAAATCCAATACAAGACATTACTGAGTACCATCTCCATATTTTCAAGCATAGTGGTGGCTTCATCATGTTATGGGTATGCTTGTAATCATTAAGGACTGGGGAGTTTTTCAGGATAAAAAAGAGACAGAACGGAGCTAAGCACAGACAAAATCCTAGAGGAAAACCTGGTTCAGTCTGCTTTCCACCAGACACTGGGAGATTAATTCACCTTTCAGCAGGACAACCTAAAACACAAGGCCAAATCTACACTGGAGTTGCTTACCAAGAAGACAGTGAATGTTCCTGAGTGGCCGAATTACAGTTTTGACTTAAATCTACTTGAAAATCTATGGCAAGACCTGAAAATGGTTGTCTAGCAATTATCAACAACCAATTTGAAGAATTGTAAGAATTTTGAAAAGAATAATGGGCAAATGTTGCACAATCCAGGTGTGGAAAGCTCTTCGACACTTACCCAGAAAGACTCACAGCTGTAATCGCTGCCAAAGGTGCTTCTACAAAGTATCGACTCAGGGTTGTGAATACTTATGTAAATTAGATATTTCTGTATTTCATTTTCAACACATTTACAAAAATGTACAAAAACATGTTTTCACTTTGTCATTATGGGGTATTGTGTGTAGATGGGTGAGATTTTTTAAATTTATTTTTTATTAATTTGAATTCAGGCTGTAACACAACAAAATGTGGAATAAGTCAAGGAGCATGAATACTTTCTGAAGGCACTGTAGATGATGTGGCACAAGTACGTTCAGTATGTCAGTTGCATCAATCAGTGCCTACCTAACTGGTGTAGAACAGCATAAAGAAATGTGGCATGAGGGACCCAAACACCTACAATGAAATGAGCAATCAGGAAAACATTTAACTTTTCTTCAATAACTGGAGACATGCAATTGATAATAACTAATAAGAATAAATGCAAAATAAATCGATTTTAGTTATTGGTAATCAATTCATGGAAAAGTACACCATTCTTGTTTATACTGTTAGATATCTGCAGCTTGGACGGTTTTCATTCATTCGTTCAACACAACAGAGCATATCTGTCTACAAGCTTGGCACACCTGTATTTGGGGAGTTTCTCCCATTCTTCTCTGCATATCCTCTCAAGCTCTGTCAGGTTGGATGGGGAGCGTTGCTGCACAGCTATTTTCAGGTCTCTCCAGAGATGTTCGATCAGGTTCAAGTCCGGGCGCTGGCTGGGCCACTCAAGGACATTCAGAGACTTGACCCGAAGCCACTCCTGCATTGTCTTGGCTGTGTGCTTAGGGTCATTGTCCTGTTGGAAGGTGAACCTTCGCACCAGTCTGATGTCCTGAGCGCTCTGGAGCAGGTTTTCATCAAGGATCTCTCTGTACTTTGCTCCGTTAATCTTTCCCTCGATCCTGACAAGTCTCCCAGTCCCTGCCGCTGAAAAGCATCCCCACAGCATGATGCTGCCACCACCATGCTTCACCGTAGGGATTGTGCCAGGTTTCCTCTAGACGTGACACTTGGCATTCAGGCCAAAAAGTTCAATCTTGGTTTCATCAGACCAGAGAATCTTGTTTCTCATGGTCTGAGAGTCCTTTGGGTGCCATTTGGCAAACTCCAATCAGGCTGTCATGTGCCTTACTGAGGAGTGGCATCCATCTGGACACTCTACCATAAAGGCCTGATTGGTGGTGCTGCAGAGATGGTTGTCCTTCTGGAAGGTTCTCCCATCTCCACAGAGGAACTCTGGAGCTCTGTCAGAGTGACCATCGGGTTCTTGGTCACCTCCCTGACCAAAGCCCTTCTCCCCTGATTGCTCAGTTTGGCCGGGCGGCCAACTCTAGGAAGAGTCTTGGTGGTTCCAAACTTCTTCCATTTAAGAATGATGTAGGCCACTGTGTTCTTGGGGACTTTCAATGGTGCATTAATTTTTTGATACCCTTCCCCAGATCTGTGCCTCGACACAATCCTGCCTCGGCGCTCTAGAGACAATTCCTTCGACCTCATGACTTGGTTTTTGCTCTGACATGCACGTCAACTGTGGGACCTTATATAGACAGGTGTGTGCCTTTCTTTATCATGTCCAATCAGTTGAATTGACCACAGGTGGACTCTAATCAAGTTGGAGAAACATCAAGGATAATCAATGGAAACAGGATGCACCTGAGCTCAATTTCGAGTCTCATAGCAAAGGGTCTGAATACTTATGCAAATAAGGTATTTCTGTTTTTTTTTTAATATACACATTTGCAAAAAATTCTAAAAACCTGTTTTCGCTTTGTCATTATGGGGTATTGTGTGTAGATTGATTTTGATCCATTTTAGAATAAGGCTGTAACGTAACAAAATGTGGAAAAAGGGAAGGGGTCTGAATACTTTCCGAATGCACTGTACAGTAGGTAGGGGTAAATTGACTAGGCAACAGGATAGATAATAAGCAGTAGCAGCAGCGTATTTGATGAGTCAAAATAGTTAGTGCAAAGGGGGGGTCATTGCAGATAGTCCAGGTAGCCATTTGGTTAACTATTAAGCAGTCTTTTGGTTTGGGGGTAGAAGCTGTTCGGAGCCTGTTGATTCCAGACTTGGTGCATGTCCTCTGACACTGCCGGGTATAGAGGTCCTGGATGGCAGGTAGCTCAGCCCCAGTGATGTACACACTACCCTCTGTAGCGCCTTGAGGTCGAATGCCAAGCAGTTGCCAAGCGGTGATGCAGCCAGTCATGATGCTCTCAATGGTGCAGCTGTATAACTTTTTGAGGATCTGTGGGCCCATGCCAAATCTTTTCAGCCTCCTGAGGGGGTAGAGACATTGTCCTGCTTTCTTCATGACTGTGTTGGTGTGTGTGGACCATATTCATTCCTTAGTGATGTGGACACAGAGGAACTTGAAGCTCTTGACCCGCTCTACTACAGCCCCATCGATGTGGATGGGGTATATTTGAGAGGTATATTTTCTGTCTGATTTAAATATTGACTGGCTTTCATCAGGCTGCCCACTCAAGAGAAATCTTCAAATTGTAACTAGTGCCTGCAACCTGGTTCAGGTTATCAATCAACCTATCCAGGTAGAATTGTGGTTTATCAATCAACTTACCAGGGTAGTTACAGACAGCACAGGAATAAAATCATCAACATGTTTTGATCATATCTTTACTAATGCTGCAGAAATGTGTTTGAAAGCAGTATCCAAATCCATCGGATGTAGTGATCACAATATAGTAGCCATATCTAGGAAAACCAAAGTTCCAAAGGCTGGGCCTAATATTGTGTATAAGAGGTCATACAATACGTTTTGTAGTGATTCCTATGTTGTTGATGTGAAGAATATTTGTTGGTCCGTGGTGTGTAATGGCGAGCAACCAGACGCTGCACTTGACACATTTATGAAATTACTTATCCCAGTTACTAATAAGCATGCACCCATTAAGAAAATGACTGTAAAAACAGTTAAATCACCGTGGACTGATGAGGAATTGAAAAATGATATGGTTGAGAGGGATGAGGCAAAAGAGATGGTAAATAGGTCTGGCTGTACAACCGATTGGCAAACGTACTGCAAATTGAGAAATCATGTGACTAAACTGAATAAAAAGAAGAAGAAACTACACTATGAAACAAAGATAAATGACATAAAGAATGATAGTAAAAAGCTTTGGAGCCCCCTTAACTGGCTCAAATAGCCGACCAATCAGCCTGTTACCAACCCTTAGTAAACTTTTGGAAAAAATGGTGTTTGACCAGATGCAATGCTATTTTACAGCCTCCCTTCACCCCCATAATATCCAGGTTGAGCTGCACCTCGTCGAGCATGTGGGAGTGGTCCGGGTGGGGGTGCAGGGACCAGAACAGTGCCCTGAGGTTGTGTCTGAACTTGGATCTCATGCCCAGGTAGATGAAGGGGTTGTAGAAGCTGGCTGACTTAGGATGCTGTGGAGAGGAGGCACCTGGTGACCCCAGGCAGACCACATTGAGATGACCGCATAGGGAGACCAGGCCAGCAGGAAGGCTGAACACAGGATCAGAGACACCTGGGGGAGGAGGGAGTAGTTGGTATAATAATACACACTACACATGAATAGCCACAAACACTGACCTAACCAATACCTTCTGAAGATGACAAAATATTATAACTTTGCATTGGACTAAAAATGCAAATGAAATCAAAGCAGTGTATAGCTAAAAGAGCCGACCATCAGCAGACACAAATTGGCTTTGTACTTTGAATCCCACAGCATTCACCAGTATGTAGTATGTACCCAATCCTGCAGCTACTGTAATTGTCTGTAGAGTACAGCTGACTGAGGGCTCACTCACTCACTGTTGTTATACTGCGCTCCATCCGTTTCTGTCTCTTGCTGACCTCTCCCCCTCTGCTGGACGTGTGGCTGTTGTTGACCGCCCGAATGATGGACACGTAGGAAAACCATATGATCACAACCGGGATGAAGAAGTTGAAGGTGAAGATGAGGATGACGTAGAGAACCTGGCCTGGACCTAGTCTTCCTCACACATCCCATACCTATGAGCTGCAAGATGCAAAACAGAGAATTGATACGGTTGATTGGTTATGATAATTGATGGTTAGATATTCCACTACATTTACAGATTATTTGCTGTATATGCATTCATTACAACAAACATAAATCAAATCTTACAGAGAAGTGAAAGGAGAGGCCAGAAGTCACATGGGTAGGTTCCTCCTACCTGTGTAACTCCCCCAGCCCACCAGGGGCACTCCAGACCAGAACAAGGCACACAGCCACACCGCCACAATCACCACAGAAACGTTGCGCTTGTTAATATGATGAGCTGAAAGACAAAACGTAGTGTAGCTCAGTTGGTAGAGCATGGCGCTTGCAACGCCAGGGTTGTGTGTTCGATTCCCACGGGGGGCCAGTATGAAAAATATATGCACTCACTAACTGTAAGTCGCTCTGGATAAGAGCGTCTGCTAAATGACTAAAATGTAAAACATGTAGTTACTCAGACTTGACTTAAGCCCTTGGCGTATAAGAACATAGGCCAGATACTAAACAGAAATGGTGTAATATGGCGAATCATGGGAAACAAAACGAATTACAGTGATTTCACAAAAAACAATGACGACAATTGAGATTATAATATGATTATCTCTAATAATAAATAGTCCCATCTGTGCCATCTTGCCCACAGGCAGTCAGGGAGCACTGAACAGTTTAAGGCCTTGACCTGGAGCAGCAGGTAATGGGGTTTAGAGTGGCTGCCATTGACCCAGGGTGCCCTGCCCTGAGCACCTGGACCAGGGGAGGCCCCAGTCCTACACCCCCTGGCCTGGGACCTGGGTCACAGCATAGACTACATACCATGGCTGGGTTGGCATCCTTTGATGTAGTGGATGACACTGATGGCTGTCAGTGTGTTGATGCTTATGAACCCAAAGAGCAGGATCAGGAAGGCAGACACGCAGACTCACCCGCGCACACACACGCACGTGCACACACACACACTTTTAGATTATGATGAAGTGCCTGCAGCTCTCTGCCAGCCTGTGGGAGAGGGAGGAATCCTTCCAAACCGTGTTGTGTCATCACCCGCTAACCAGACTCTCACGCTACAAGCCAGGTAGACTGGCTACTGCAGGATAAAAACACACACTATTCTCTGGTGGAATGTGATGTTTTCTTTCTGTCGTTTAATCCAGTCATCTGTCAAGTGGAATGGTGAGAGTCCTGGGTAGCCATGGTAACAGTAGCCTACTGAGGGTTTGATTTAACTTCCTTAACTTTTTTTATAGTAGAAAATGCTAATATACAAGACCATATAAAATATGTGTTATTGTACAACTTGTCCTCGAGCTGATTCCTTCCTCTGAAATTGTAAGCTATGATTGTACTGATCTTATCTGTGTAGCTATAATGTAGTTTTGTGTTCACATTCACAGACAAACTCCTTGATAAGATCTGGGTCCCTTGTCAATCTATGAAGTGCCCTTAAACATCATTCAAAGCTTTAGAACAATAACTCAATAATAACAACAACAACTCCTAACAGGGTTCGGGTCAATTACAATTTAATTTAGTTTGGTCTGTTTGAATTGGAACTAAATTGGAATTCAATATTTGTACATTTCCCAGTTGATGGAATTAATGCACTTAGTATACACATTTTTACTGCAGGATTTGTTTTTAATCATTTCAACGTGTATTTCTATATTTCCAGTATAGCTAAGCTGTCTGAACAGTGACATGATCAGCCTGAAGGAGTTGAATATACATTTGTGGAATTGTTGGGTTGGGATAATATTAAATTGGGAATTTAATTATTGTAATTTACCAAACATTGGAATTGAGAGGTATTTTAATTATCTCTGATTTCAAAGACTGACCTGGAATTTGAATTGAATTTAATGGAATTTACAGGGAGCGGTAGAAATTAATTATAATTGAATTTGTGGAATTAACCCCAACCCTGACTACTAACAAAAGAGGGCTAGAGTATCAACCTCTGTACAATAATACACAAACCACTATCAAAACAGTGCAACTATAACTAGCATTAGAAATATTCTTAGAGGGCCATATAGGTCATCTGAAAAATGCAAGACACTTTAATAACAAATCAATCAATCAATCAATCATTCAACCCCCAAAAAACAACCACCAACCAACCAACCAACCAACCAACCAATGTCCCTTTGGTACCTGGCCGGTCCAGATGGTCTTGATCAGAAGTCCGTCGTCCATGAACACGTTGAAGACTTCCAGTATCCCTCTGGAGTAGCCGAAGATGGCGATGCCAGTGTCGGACACAGCCAGGTTAAGAGTGAGGAAGTCCTGTGGCTCCAGACGTTGTCTCCGCTTGACCAACAGTAGAATCACCACTCCATTACCTAGCCAGGAGAGCCACCCTGGAAATGTAAATAAAAACACTTCCTATTTAAACCATATCCATGAAGACACAACTCATAACATTATATAATAACAATGGCATCGGTATACAAGTACACTAACACAAGATTTACCATGTATTTTTTTGTGAAAGTTGTCTATTCTATATTAGCAACAGTATAGCTTTACAGCAGTTTGACAAGGTAAACATTAGAATAATTACCTAGTATCAACAAGTAAACACCAGTGGCAGTCTCCTCCTTGGCTGACACCCTGTAGACAGTTACATTAGGACGGGATATAATGGTGTCCTCCATCAGCACCCTTGTCTTCTGAGCGCCGCTCGGCCAAGATCCAACATTTCACAACGGTCTCATTTCAAACACGTCTGAAGAGCCCTGTGTTGTTCTGATTAAGGACAGGTGAAGTGAGTGGTGTCCCAGAGACCACTCGGGTGGATGGTAGCATTCTCTTGACTTTATTCCAAGTGAGAGTGTGACAGAGTTGAGATTCACCCTCTCAGTCTCTCCATATGATGACCCTGTCTGTGTCACCAGCCAGCAGCAGGCAGGCGTACAGCAATAGACTGAGAGAACAGGCATGGTTGTGTCCTTCATACATTATTATCCTAATCCCTTGATCCTGTTAATGATAGTAGTGTCTGATGTAATGCTAGCCACAGAAGTCAGGTCAGCTAATAATACACTTAGCTATACAGTGAGGGAAAAAAAGTATTTGATCCTCTGCTGATATTGTACGTTTGCCCACTGACAAAGAAATGATCAGTGTATAATTTTAATGGTAGGTTTATTTGAACAGTGAGAGACAGAATAACAACAACAAAATCCAGAAAAATGCATGTAAAAAATGTTATAAATCCATTTGCATTTTAATGAGGGAAATAAGTATTTGACCCCCTCTCAATCAGAAAGATTTCTGGCTCCCAGGTGTCTTTTATACAGGTAACGAGCTGAGATTAGGAGCACACTCTTAAAGGGAGTGCTCCTAATCTCAGTTTGTTACCTGTATAAAAGACACCTGTCCACAGAAGCAATCAATCAATCAGATTCCAAACTCTCCACCATGGCCAAGACCAAAGAGCTCTCCAAGGATGTCAGGGACAAGATTGTAGACCTACACAAGGCTGGAATGGGCTACAAGACCATCGGCAAGCAGCTTGGTGAGAAGGTGACAACAGTTGGTGCGATTATTCGCAAATGGAAGAAACACAAAAAGACCTGTCACTCTCCCTCGGCCTGGGGCTCCATGCAAGATCTCACCTCGTGGAGTTGTAATGATCATGAGAACAGTGAGGAATCAGCCCAGAACTACACGGGAGGATCTTGTCAATGATCTCAAGGCAGCTGAGACCATAGTCACCAAGAAAACAATTGGTAACACACTACGCCGTGAAGGACTGAAATCCTGCAGCGCCCGCAAGGTCCCCCTGCTCAAGAAAGCACATATACAGGGCCGTCTGAAGTTTGCCAATGAACATCTGAATGATTCAGAGGAGAACTGGGTGAAAGTGTTGTGGTCAGATGAGACCAAAATCGAGCTCTTTGGCATCAACTCAACACACCGTGTTTGGAGGAGGAATGCTGCCTATGACCCCAAGAACACCATCCCCACCGTCAAACATGGAGGTGGAAACATTATGCTTTGGGGGTGTTTTTCTGCTAAGGGGACAGGACAACTTCACTGCATCAAAGGGACGATGGACGGGGCCATGTACCGTCAAATCTTGGGTGAGAACCTCCTTCCCTCAGCCAGGGCATTGAAAATGGGTATTCCAGCATGACAATGACCCAAAACACACGGCCAAGGCAGCAAAGGAGTGGCTCAAGAAGAAGCACATTAAGGTCCTGGAGTGGCCTAGCCAGTCTCCAGACCTTAATACCATAGAAAATCTGTGGAGGGAGCTGAAGGTTCGAGTTGCCAAACGTCAGCCTCGAAACCTTAATGACTTAATAACATTTCTGACATGCGTTTTTCTGGATTTTTTTGTTCTTATTCTGTCTCTCACTGTTCAAATAAACCTACCATTAAAATTATAGACTGATCATGTCTTTGTCAGTGGGCAAACGTACAAAATCAGCAGGGGATCAAATACTTTTTTCCCTCACTGTACGCTCCGATTGGTGACACACTGAAAGATGGTCAAGGAAGTGGCCTATGCTGTGGAGCAATATAGAGATTAAGCAGCAGCACCTTGTATAGTAATGGTGAGCTCTCCATGCTATAACTCTAGGTCAACAAAACTAACAACTGCCGGCTTCTTGGCTCATGAGGTCAGCTCCAAAATTACCTAAGGGGAACGGAAACAGACAAATGGGGCTATATGTAGACTGTAAATATAAAAAGTTGTTCATCCTTGTGCGCTGCAAGAGGAAGTCCCTGCTAAAACACCCTATTCTGATCTAGAATAAGATTAAACAAAGGACAAGTTGGAAAACCCTGGTACAAACACTAGATAGACACTAGACATCACAACAGTGTTGAGTAAGACTGTTAATCTTTATTTGTTGAGAGTGTAAAGAATTAGGTAAACAAACAATGTAAGTACAGTACATATGATAAAATACATGGAGAGAAAGAGAGAGAGAGAGAACCTAGAGGTATGATTATACAGTATGAGTCGGGAGGTCTTGCTTGCAGTATTTAGGAGAAATGGAATCGAAGAAAATGTTCATATATTTTCTTGTTTTTACTTTTGGCCAAGTGAAGACAGCTGTGGAGATAAAAGCATGGAGCAACTATCAAAACAACAAGAGATTTGAGATCAATTAAGCAGTTTAGGTTATTTAACACAAACCTACAATATGTGTCATCATTTCATATTATGTTTAGGGCTTGCTTAATGATTACTGTTGATTTATATCATGATATTATAAACTGATCATGATCAATTATAATATATAATGATCAATTATAATATAATTATCAACTACATAATAATCAATTGTATTATTATTAAAAATTTTTAAAAGTCTGTTTGTCCTCCTACCTGTTTGATGAACTGTCCTGCATTGAAGAGCTCACTGCATCCGTACAGCACCCTCTTCCCTGGCTTTGCCTAAAAGGGTACCACAAAATACACATTGTTCAATAAAAACTCAACTGGATATATGAAGAGGTTCTCAAAAAAAAAGAAAAAAGATTTAGAGAGTAATAAGAAGCTACCTTTGTGTAGTCCACCAGGTTTTGATATTCTATGTAGTTCCCTCCTCCTACCACGAAGACAATAGCCTAAAATAGAAGGAGAGAAAGTCTCCGTTAGAGACAGTAATGCTACATCTGGCTGCCAGGTTCAGATACAGTACACACAGATTAGATTAGTGCTCTCCCCTTCACACAATCAGGCCAGGCTAAGCACCAGGACCGTCCGGGGTACTCAGGACCACAGCAACACAGCAGTTACTGGACTTCATGGAGATCCTATTTGTATGTGTGTGTGTGTGTGTGTCTCTCTCTATGTGCTGACCATGGCAGGACTCACCTCTTGAAACGGGTTCTTGTTCCTTGGGATGGAGCTGGTTGGAAAGCAGGAGTGTTAGAAACATCTTACAGGCACAGGAAATGCACGACTATTAAGAGGCCTTAACTAACTAAGTGCTATCTTTGGAGCTCTTTACGGAGTCTTACCTCTCACTGCCACGCAGCATCTTGGGATCAAAGTATCTGTAGTCATCAGTCTCCTGCAGATCATATAACATCATCAGTACACCAAAAACAACACACTCAATTCTAGAAACCCTAAAATCCTCCCATTGCTCAGAGGTCACCCAATTCCTCTTAGTAACCACCACTCCTGTACAAGCAGCATGGATCCTGTGAGACACATAAAAAATAAAAAAAATTGATCAGACAACACCTGCCCTCCCTCCCTCTCGCTCCCCCCCTCCCCCTGTTCTAGCAGAAGCCTCCTGGTATATCTACACATGACTGACTTACTTGACAAACCCTTTTACACAGTGAGGAGCCTATGTCATCCACAGCTATGCACACCACTGCAGACATGTGTTTTACATTTTACAAAGTAGCTTAGCTATATACACTACCAGTAAAAGGTTTGGACACACCTACTCATTCAAGGGTTTTTCTTTATTTTTACTATTTTCTACATTGTAGAATATTAGTGAAGACATCAAAACTATGAAATAACACATATGGAATCATGTAGTAACCAAAAAAGTGTTAAACAAATCAAAATATATTTTATATTTGAGATTCTTCAAATAGCCACCCTTTGCCTTGATGACAGCTTTGCACACTCTTGGCATTCTCTCAACCAGCTTCATGAGGTAGTCACCTAGAATGCATTTCAATTAACAAGTGTGCCTTCTTAAAAGTTAATTTGTGGAATTTCTTTCCATCTTAATGCGTTTGAGCCAATCAGTTGTGTTGTGACAAAGTAGGGGTGGTATACAGAAGATAGCCCTATTTGGTAAAATACCAAGTCCATATTATGTCAAGAATCGCTCAAATAAGCAAAGAGAAACGACAGTCCATCATTACTTTAAGACATGAAGGTCAGCCAATACGGAAAACGTTCAAGAACTTTTAACGTTTCGTCAAGTGCTGTCGCAAAAACCATCAAGCGCTCAGATTGTCCATCTTTTTGCCACTGTCTCCATCAGCGTGCTTCCCTCCTGAATGTGATGGTGCAACAAACATACATAGAGGAATGTCCAATGTAGAGCGGGAAGAGAGGGGGAGGGAAGAGGAGAGGAAGAGGAAAAGGGAGAGGAGAGAGTGAAGAGAAGAGAGGAGAGAGAAGAGGAGAGAGGAGAGGAGAAGAATGTCCAATGTAGAGCGGGAAGAGAGGAGAAGAGAAGAGAAGAGAGAAGAATGTCCAATGTAGAGCGGGAAGAGAAGAGAAGAGAAGAGAGGAGAGAGAAGGGAAGTTAGAAAAGAGGAGAGAGAAGGGAAGAGAGAAGGAGACTCACCGGGTTGGACTTCATCTCCATCAGGTTGTCCAGGATACGCGTGACGGGCAGGTTCTGAAAGATAAACTCTTTCAAACTCTGTCCTTGCTCCCCAGATGATATCATTCATTACAGACTCTAACTTAGCAGCTACGTGAGATATTATCATACGTCTCCAGGCAAAACCTTCCCATCAAAGCCAAGTGACATCTGGACACTAAAAACACACATACAGACAGTATTGAGATACTGCTCCTCTCCTCTGTCTGTGGAGGAGGGAGTAGGAGGAGTAAGATTTGGAGACATTCAGTATCTTCCTACTCATCCTGTGTGTAAATTTATTTCTCTCTCTCTCTCTACTTACATGCTGTTTGAGCACCAGGTTCTTCACCCCCTCCATGACAAACTGGGAGCCAGAGTTCATCACTCGAGAGAAGAGGCTGTGGGACATAGAGACAGGAGGAGGACAGGGTCAACGCGGGGGTTTGGGACAGGGTCAACGCGGGGGTTTGGGACAGGGTCAACGCGGGGGTGGGACGGGTAACGGGGGTTGGGACAGGGTCAACGCGGGGGTTGGGACAGGGTCAACGGGGGGGTTGGACGGGTCAAAGGTGGTTAGGACAGGGCACAGGGGTTAGGACAGGTACACGGTGGACAGGTCAACGCGGGGTTAGGACAGGGTCAACACGGGGGTTAGGACAGGGTCAACGCGGGGGTTAGGACAGGGTCAACACGGGGGTTAGGACAGGGTCAACGCGGGGGTTAGGACAGGGTCAAGGGGGGGGTCCAACCGGGGGTTAGGACCTGGGTCAACGCGGGGGTTAGAAGGTCACACGTGGTTAGGACAGGTCAACACGGTGGTTAGGACAGGGTCAACACGGTGGTTAGGACAGGGTCACGGGGTTAGACGGTCACGGGGGTTAGACAGGGTCACCGGGGTGGACAGGGTCAACACGGGGGTTAGGACAGGGTCAACACGGGGGTTAGGACTATGGGACTAGCATGGACTATGTTGTTATTGTAAAAGAGAATGTGTTCTCAATAACTTACCTGGTTAAATAAAGTTAGTAAATAAACTATGATTAAAACCGTGGTCTATGGAAAGGGACACACACTCTCGCTCTTACCCCATAGGTTTTACACCGCTGTTCCCATAGTTAGATGGTGTGGCAGCAATCTTAGTGAAAGCCCTGGGGGAAAAAACAAAATATTCACAATATATAAGTAGCTTGTTGTCTAAAACAATGTGGTTTACTATTATGTTTTGTTCTGTATGTATGAAACATAATTTGATGGACCAACTTACTTCCACTGCTTGATGTAGTTGACAGGGGACAGGTCACAGCCTGTGTCTAGCAGAGCCTTCTTGTATTGGTCCAGATCAGTCTACAACACAGAATATGACTGTAAGTCACTTTGGATAAAAGCGTCTGCTAAATGGCATATTATTTATTTTAACATACAGAAGGCCTGTTTTCACCAAGGTAAACCATACAAGTGATGGAGCAGGCATTCGAGGTCTAGTAGGGTATTTACCCACCAGGGACTTTGTACCCCGAAGGAATCAACACATATTCATCATAAACAGAGTGTGAGGCCAAGTGTGACATGTGTATGGTGGTAGCATCAGTATAGTGCTCAATGACAGCAGAGACAAGTACTGTTTTATGTAACTAAACTGATGTTACACCGCATCAGCCAGGGAAAACAAATAACCTAAAGAGCAGGAGTGGACGGATGGACCGGAGAGGAGAGGGTAATGGTGATAATCTGCCCAGGGCGGGTTCAGGTTCAGGGGAGGACAGAGTTGAAAGGCCACAGACATTAGTGGTAGAAAAATTATTCCTGCTTGACTTCAGCTGTCAGGTCGGGAAACAGCATGGTGTCTCAGAGGAGAAGGGCTGTTATGAAGACCATCGATCAACATGATGCTCCAGGACAGCCTGATCCTAACACTGATCCCAGCCTGCCGCCGCAGCCAGAAACCTGGGCCCGTATTAACAAAGCGCCTCAGAGTAGTAGTGCTATTCTGTGATCAGTTTTGTCTTTTAGATGATAGTGAATATGGTTATACGGACGGGGGTGGGAAACTGATCCAAGATCAGCCCTCATCTCACTGAAGAGAACAGACGGGACGTAGAACCCCCAGTCATTGTGGAGAGCCAGGTGGCCTCCTATACAGAGGGCCTTGGGATGCTCAGAACAGAACAAGCTAGCATTATTGGACTTCTGGAGTAATGATGTTTGGCCGCGGCTTCAAAGGGTTTCAATGTTCCTGGAATCTACCTCTACATGCGTCATATTGAACAATAAAGCTTTTGAATGTTGTCAGAAGAAAAGCTGGTTTGAATATCATATGAAAAATGAAATGTTGGGAATTGGTGTTTTGCTTAATGGTGTTCTACACAATGAAATCCAAGCCAGGGCCAAGGTTTTACATATTGTGTATTGTGTTTTTGCTAAGACTTCCACATTACATTTAAGTCATTTAGCAGACACTCTTATCCAGAGCGACTTACAAATTGGTGCATTCAACTTAGGATAGACAGTGGGACAACCACCCTTTTTCCCCCCCCTTTTTTTTTTTAATGGGGGGGGGGGGGGGGTAGAAGGATTACTGTTATACTATTCCAGGTATTCCTTAAAGAGGTAGGGTTTCAAGTGTCTCCGGAAGGTGGTCAGTGACTCCGCTGTCCTGGCGTCGTGGGGGAGCTTGTTCCACCATTGGGGTGCCAGAGCATCGAATAGCTTTGACTGGGCAGAGCGGGAACTGTGCTTCCGTAGAGGTAAGGGGGGCTAGCAGGCCAGAGGTGGATGAACGTAGTGCCCTCGTTTGGGTGTAGGGTCTGATCAGAGCCTGAAGGTAAGGAGGTGCCGTTTCCCTCACAGCTCCGTAGGCAAGCACCATGGTTTTGTAGTAGATGCGAGCTTCAACTGGAAACCAGTGGAGTGTGCGGAGGAACGGGGTGACATGCGAGAACTTGGGAAGGTTGAACACCAGACGGGCTGCAGCGTTCTGGATAAGTTGTAGGGGTTTAATGGCACAGGCAGGGAGCCCAGTCAACAGCGAGTTGCAGTAATCCAGATGGGAGATGACAAGTGCCTGGATTAGGACCTGTGCCGGTTTCTGTGTAAGGTAGGGTCGTACTCTGCGAATGTTGTACAGCATGAACCTGCAGGATCGGGTCACCGCTTTGATGTTAGCGGAGAACGACAGGGTGTTGTCCAGGGCCACGCCAAGGTTCTTTGCACTCTGGGAGGAGGAACATCCAGTGAAACCACAAAGTGTCTCCATTGAGGTTGCTATTGTGTTGTTTTTGGTCCATTGGACATGATACTGCATATGACTGCAGTGGAACAGCAGTATATCAACATAGAGTTCCCTAACAGAGAGGCCTGTATCCTGTGGGTCCTCCCCTGACCTGTGATGGAGTCTAGTTTGGCATGTGTTTGATGGGGACAGAATGTGTGATGTGAGTATAGCATGTTTTTTATAGGGACAGGGTTTAGTCTAGTATATATGTGTTGGATAGGGACAGGGTCAGGGTTAGGAGGGGTTAGACCATTAGGGTAAGGGTTAGGAGGGGTTAGACCATTAGGGTAAGGGTTAGGAGGGGTTAGACCGTTAGGGTAAGGGTTAGGAGGGGTTAGACCGTTAGGGTAAGGGTTAGGAGGGGTTAGACCGTAAGGGTTAGACCGTTAGGGTAAGGGTTAGGAGGGGTTAGACCGTTAGGGTAAGGGTTAGGAGGGGTTAGACCGTTAGGGTAAGGGTTAGGAGGGGTTAGGCCGTTAGGGTAAGGGTTAGGAGGGGTTAGACCATTAGGGTAAGGGTTAGGAGGGGTTAGATCGTTAGGGTAAGGGTTAGGAGGGGATAGACCGTTAGGGTAAGGGTTAGGAGGGGTTAGACCGTTAGGGTCAGGAGGGGTTAGATCATTAGGGTAAGGGTTAGGAGGGGTTAGACCGTTAGGGTTAGGAGGGGTTAGACAGTTAGGGTTAGGAGGGGTTAGATCGTTAGGGTAAGGGTTAGGAGGGGTTAGACCGTTAGGGTAAGGGTTAGGAGGGGTTAGACCTTTAGGGTAAGGGTTAGGAGGGGTTAGACCTTTAGGGGTAAGGGTTAGGAGGGGTTAGACATTTAGGGGTAAGGGTTGGAGGGGTTAGACCGTTAGGGTAAGGGTAGGCCGTTTAGGGTAAGGGGTTAGGATGGGGTTTAGATAGTTAGGGTAAGGGTTTAGGAGGGGTTTGACCGTTAGGGTCAGGGAGGGGTTTAGATCGTTGGGTAAGGGTTTAGGAGGGGTTGAGATCGTTAGGGTAAGGGTTAGGGAGGGTGGTTTTTGAGACCGTTAGGGGTAAGGGTTAGGGGATGGGGGTTAGATCGTAGGGTTAGGAGGGGTTTAGCTCGTTAGGGTAAGGGTTAGGAGGGTTAGACCGTTAGGGTAGACGTAGGTAAGGTTAGGAGGGTTAGACCGTTTAAGGTAAGGGTTAGGAGGGGTTAGACCTTAAGGTAAGGGTTAGGAGGGGTTAGACGTAGGGTCAGGAGGGTTAGACGTTAGGGTAAGGGTTAGGAGGGTTAGATCGTTAGGGGTATAGGTAAGGTTAGGAGGGGTTAGACCGTTAGGGTAAGTAGGAGGGGTTAGATCGTTAGGGTAAGGGTTAGGAGGGGTTAGACCGTTAGGGTAAGGAGGGGTTAGATCGTTAGGGTAAGGGTTAGGAGGGGTTAGACCGTTAGGGTAAGGTTAGAGGGGTTAGATCGTTAGGGTAAGGGTTAGGAGGGGTTAGACCGTTAGGGTAAGGGTAAGGAGGGGTTAGATCGTTAGGGTAAGGGTTAGGAGGGGTTAGACCGTTAGGGTAGAGGGTTAGCGAAAGGGTTAGAGCGGTTAGGGTAAGGGTTAGGAGGGGTTAGACCGTTAGGGTAAGGTTAGGGGTTAGACCGTAGGGTTAGGAGGGTTAGACCGTTAGGGTAAGGGTTAGGGGGGTTAGACCTTAGGGTAAGGGTTAGGAGGGGTTAGACCAGTTAAGGGGTAAGGGTTAGGAGGGGTTAGATCGTTAGGGTAAGGGTTAGGAGGGGTTAGACCGTTAGGGTAAGGGTTAGGAGGGGTTAGACCGTTAGGGTAAGGGTTAGGAGGGTTAGTGCCGTTAGGGTAAGGGTTAGGAGGGGTTAGACCGTTAGGTAAGGGTTAGGAGGGTTAGACCGTTAGGGTAAGGGTTAGGAGGGTTAGACCGTTAGGGTAGGAGGAGGGCTTAGACCGTTAGGGTAAGGGTTAGGAGGGGTTAGACCGTTTAAGGTAAGGGTTAGAGGGTTAGACGTTAGGGTAAGGAGGGGTTAGACGTTAGGGTAAGGGTTAGGAGGGGTTAGACCGTTAGGGTAGGGTTAGGAGGGTTAGACGTTAGGGTAGGTAGGAGGGGTTAGACCGTTAGGGTAAGGGTTAGGAGGGGTTAGCCGTTAGGAGGGTTAGACCGTTAGGGTAAGGGTTAGGAGGGGTTAGACCGTTAGGGTCAGGAGGGTTTAGATTGTTAGGGTAAGGGTTAGGGTTAGGAGGGGGCCAGGCCTCACCTCTGAAGTGGGCTGCAGGGCTGTGATGTAGAATATCAGAAAGAGTCTCATCTTGTCCTCTGGTGTTCCAGCTGTTACAAAGAGAAAAGCTGTTGTTTAACAAACCTTCAAAACAGGCATCTCAGGTACTTCCAAAGCTTGAAAAAGTAAAACACATATGCATGATTTATGTCAGTGCTGGCCAAGATAAGCACAGTGGCACATCTACCGTCTGGGTCACTGATGATGTCCAGTAAAGACTTATCCAGGGTGGATTTACTCATCAGCTTCTCCTCGTACTCAAAGTACACGTCCAGTTTACGGCTCTGTGGATACATCCCATAAGGTGTACATTAGTTCAAGAGGATGTTTAGGCAGTCTTTGCCAGATTTAGTAACAACTTTATAGTCAGTGCTCTGAGATGGTAGAGCTCACAATGTGACTGCACAGCACAACAGTCTTCCATAGGTGTCCAATATCAGAGAACAGTGTTAATGGGACGCTGTGCACTGTGGACATGGAGAGGACATAGAGAGAACCCTCTCTCTCTAGACACAGAGAACACCCTGTCTGGCCAAGACAGTGTTAAACACTGACCTTAATGTGATCCAGAACGGCGGTGGCTACGTTAGTGTGGAGGTCAATCAGCCTCTTCTTCTCCAGAAGCTCTGGTAGGGAGCTGATAGAGGAAACACAGAACAGTTTTGGTACCGACTGAGAACTGTCAATAATGGTGCAGTAATGAACAAAGACATAATAAAACAGATAAATACTGTATATTCTACATTGATGCTCACCTGACAGCTGAGGTAAGTTTTGCAGTGTTGTCTGACATACTAATACTACTAATGGCTCCCTCATCCTCACCCTCCAACCCCTGGAGAAGAAAACTAAGTTATTTTAGTGGGGAATATGCAAGTGCGAGTGTTGTCTATTGTTTTCAGTGAGACTACTTCATTGAATAGCTCTATAAAACCACCTGTGTGCCTCTCTTACCATGATGCTCTTGAGGCGTTTCACCTCGTCCTCTTGGGCTCGGTACGTGTCTAACTCCTCCTGTACAGACTCAGCCACCTCCGGGAACGGGCTGGAAGAGTCAGAACAACCCCTCAGCCAAGAAGGACTTCACTACGGCAAAGCTCCAAATATACTGTTGCTACTGAGTTATAAAGCATCACCTGCAGACTACCTTCTAAATCAGTAGTTTAATCCAATTTAGCCAACAGAATTTAGTATCTAACCAGCAAAACTTGGAATATACTGTTGCTACCTAGTTATAAAGCGTCAGCCACGAGCTACCTTCTAAATCAGTAACTGATCACAAGTGAGTTCCTAACCTGCCCTTGTGTTTCAGCCAGAACATGTCGGCTGCTGTGAGGTCATAACTCTTCTTGTTCTTCTTCTTGGGTCTGGCTCCGGCAGGGGAGGCTTCTGACCCCACAGACTCATCCATACTGACCCTGTTCAGGTGGAAGTCCTGGGACACACACACACAAATAAACAGACACCGGTACAGACACTAGTTACTCAGTGTTGGGAAGGTGTTTGACAGCTGGCAGAGATCCTATTGGATGTGAAGTCTGGTCATATTTCTGCTCAAAACATTAGAAAACAGACTGAGCCATAGATACCGCTGGGATAAACATTGATATCTACTAACATCATCATAGCCTACCTTCAAAATAACAACCGCTGTCATACATACAGTACCAGTCAAATATTTTAGAACACCTACTCATTCCAGGGTTTTTCTTTATTTTTACTATTTTCTACATTGTAGAATAATAGTGAAGACATCAAAACTATGAAATAACACATATGGAATCATGTAGTAACCAATAAAGTGTTAAACAAATGAAAATATATTTTATATTTGAGATTCTTCGAAGTAGCACACTCTTGGCATTCTCTCAACCAGCTTCATGAGGTAGTCACCTGGAATGCATTTAAATTAACAGGTGTGCCTTCTTAAAAGTTAATTTGTGGAATTTATTTCCTTCTTAATGCATTTGAGCCAATCAGTTGTGTTGTGACAAAGTAGGGGTGGTATACAGAAGATAGCCCTATTTGGTAAAAGACCAAGTCCATATTATGGCAAGAACAGCTCAAATAAGCAAAGGGAAACGACAGTCCATCATTACTTTAAGACATGAAGGTCAGTCAATCCGGAGAATTTCAAGAACTTTGAAAGTTTCTTCAAGTGCAGTCGCAAAAAACCAAGACTTGGTATTTTACCAAATAGGGCTATCTTCTGTATACCATCCCTACCTTGTCACAACACAACTGATCGGTTCAAACGCATTAAGAAGGAAATAAATTCCACAAATTTACTTTTAAGAAGGCACAAAGCATTCCAGGTGACTACCTCATGAAGCTGGTTGAAAGAATGCCAAGAGTGTGCAAAGCTGTCATCAAGGCAAAGGGTGGCTATTTTGAAGAATCTCAAATTAAAAAAAAATATATATTTTGATTTATTTAACACTTTATTGGTTACTACATGATTCCATGTGTTATTTCATAGTTTTAAATGTCTTCACTATTATTCTACAATGTAGAAAATAGTAAAAATAAAGAAAAACCCTTGAATGAGTAGGTGTGTCCAAACTTTTGACTGGTACTGTATATCGAGGCTAAACAAAGGACCTGCAATGCTGAAAACCAAGGGTAGGATAGTAGACAGGTCGGTCCACTCTACACCACAAATAATTTAAAGGCACGGATGCTGGAAAATGTTTCCTCACTAATATATATGACCTCTGACACCGTGTAGCTCAGTTGGTAGAGCATGGCGTTTGCAACACCAGTGTTGTGGGTTCAATTCCCACGGGGGGCCAGTATGAAAAAAAAGAAATGTATGCACTCACTAACTGTAAGTCGCTCTGGATAAGAGCGTCTGCTAAATGACTAAAATGTAAAATGTACCCTCTTCATCTTACACAAAGTAATTGCAGTATCTCAGAAATAACATTCCAAGTAAAATCTGTTCGCTACCTTGAAAAACCACACACCTTAGTGTACTGTATATACCCTATTCACACTATTGAGCAGACCAGTTCAGACTCACAGTGTAAAATACCATACACACAACACAATTCACATGGAATGAGTCCAGACTGCAGAGTGGACATTTCTCATGAGTAAGCCCTTAGTTTTTGTCAAAGTGTATGATGCGTCTGTTAAGTCCATCATACCATTGTGGCGGGAGTATGAAAGACAGATCTGCTCCTCTCTCTCCCTGTATCCTGTCAGTCTTACCAGCACGTCGTGGATGAGGGCCTGATAGGTCCATGTGTGGTGGAGGGGGGTGGCAAGATCCAGGTTGCGGTCAGCAAGTACAAATAGGGGTCTCTGGAAGCTGAAGAGAGAGAGACAGACAGAGATGAAATGACAGGATGATAAATGTACCCAGAGTTCCCCACTGACTAGGCTCTCTCTCTACGCTCCACCACAGCAAAAACAAAAGAACACTTGAAATGGATCCAGCTTAGATTTTCCCAGAAGAGGCATGACTGTTTTCTCTTCATCCACCACTCAGTGAAGGCCTAGCTAACTGCTCAGTGGGTCTTAGTGAAGGCCTAGCTAACTGCTCAGTGGGTCTTAGTGAAGGCCAAACTAACTGCTCAGTGGGTCTTAGTGAAGGCCTAGCTAACTGCTCAGTGGGTCTTAGTGAAGGCCTAGCTAACTGCTCAGTGGGTCTTAGTGAAGGCCTAGCTAACTGCTCAGTGGGTCTGGAGAGGAGAAAAGCAGGAGATCACATTTCCACAGTTAAACAAAGACACAGTGAAACACAGTGCGTGTGGGAAGCCATTTTATGTGGAATGGAGTAGGCTTTCCATGGTAAAGTACAAAATGGGATGAATGTCTTCATCTAGTCTGCTCTCTTTATGGTTCATACCCAGTTTACTAGTCTACAGCACCCTGAACCACCTGAACTGGCCGGCCCCCATGTTGTCTCCAGTGAACAGGCTGTTTCTGGCGTCTCGCAGGTTCTCCCGAAGCTTCTTGTCAAGTTTCTGCAACAGAGAAACTGGGTTTAAGATGGTTTAGTCTCTTATTTAATTAGCTAGGTAAGAGACCTTATCTTCTGAACCAAATAAACACTAAGCACACAGTCCTGCAGGGTTGCATTGAGAGCTTAGAGACCACCACCACAACACAGCAGTACAGGGAACAAAGAGCAGTGCTGTGTAAGTAGAGGAGAACCACTCCATCCATCCATTAAGGCCCCTGGAGGATCAGCTTCCACACAGACTGCATCAACATTCCTTCACACATAAAGAATCCACCTGCAAATACAGTCAGATTCTGGAGGTGGTTGGATTTGGGGTGGTCCTCAAATGACTAATTTCCCCTTTCACTGTACCCACTGAGGATGGGTACTACTCTCCCAGGCCTGTCTGCACTGCCAAGACGTAATACAAAGTGTTCAGACAGACAGACTGGGCCCCTGACAGAGGCTGAGACGACTTCAGATGGTTTTAAATGAAGGAGGATGATGCTCACCACCGCGACCATCTCCGCAGCATTCCCTCTTGGACAGCGGATTATGGGGACAGCACCTAAGAAAACAAAACAGACCTGTTAGCTGCCAATAGAGGGCATGGAAGACTTTAGCAGAGCTTCTCTATAGAGATATGCTGGAGTCTAGTGGGGGCTGAATCCCATTAGGATAAAACTGAGAATCTTACACAGACTGCAAGGTGGGTTTGTTTTGTTCAAAGTGTCATCTATATAGTCACACTTTCAGACAAAACCCTTTACTTTCAAACAGTTTTCCTCTCTCAGAAGAACTATTATCTTGGTACTGCTTCGATTCAGGTGAGTAATAATAGTAGTAATGCTGCCATCTAGCAGGTAGAAATGGTATAACCACCTGAGTAAATAAATAAATCTCACAGCATATTTTGAAATACCAAAGCAATGTTCTCTCAGGAGTCTCAATAGTATTGTGGCATTGATAACGTTGTGTTGAAGGACGCACCCAGAGTGACAAAGAAGCAGAAGAGACTGTCTACTATCGTATCCATGATGGCCTCCATCTCTGTGTCCATGATGTCCGGTTTGTTAATTGCTAATCAAAAGGGAATAGGAAAACAGGAAGTCAAATACAATCATGCCAGCTAATCAAGAAGACAATCTGAAGGTAATATGTGAATAAAAACAGTTCTTTAGTTTCCTTTTGACAATATCAAATCTTGCCCTGTTTCTGAATCCAATGAACTTATTACCATGGTAGGAGATGAGCTCTTTATTTTGATTGCTGAGGATGAACATATCATCTTCAAGTGTGATGAAGTTCAAATACTGATCGAACACCTACGAAAGCAAAAAAGACCTTACTCTTACAAGGCTGTCAATACCCTGTGATGTGATTTATAGAAAATTCCTGGAACTGAGTCCCAAATTGCACACTATCCCCTTTATAGTGCACTACTTTTCACCAGAGCCCTACAGGCAAAAGGTAATGCACCATATAGGGAATAGGGTACCATTTGAGATGTAGCCTGGCAGAGACGTAAACGAGTGTGTTGTAGACTCACCTTGGTAACCTGTGTGATAGCGTTGGCTGAGAGAGCTGCACTGGCAATATCCTCTAGTTTACTTCTGGATATGGCTGAGATGAAGTTCAAATAGTAGGACTCATACAGCTGACTACGAAGGTCCTGAGAAAGAGAGACAAAACAATGGAATGGAACAATATACCGACTAGTAGGATGTTAGATGTCTGGAATGTTACGTTTGGACAACAAATCATTTTATCTGGGCAAGGCCACTAAATTCATAGACTCGGTGGCCGAAGACATTTGTCCTTATCAACTTGGCCTATCCCTAGTATAAAAATATCTGATGATGTCATGTTGAAGTTCTGAGTGAGGGATGTTTACTTGGCATATCCGGTCAATGTTCTCCTCTGTCGGCATTACAAAATAGATGGCTGGCACATCCGGGATGGGATCTCTGTCTGAATGAAGCAACCTATAGAGAAAGATAAAATACATTGAAGACCTTTCTAGATTACTGTATCCTCTATTGATTGACACCAAGTCAACGCTGTGTGTGTGGACTTATTTGCAATTACTCAATTCATTATTGACTCAAATTCCTTTTCTCAAAACTGTTGTTGTCCTTTGAAATATACTGCACTGGTAGCTCCTTCATTATCAATAGATTCACCAGTTGAAGGTTCAATGTCTTTACAGCCTTATCAATTATTTGTCTGACGTATCATGATTTTTGCTTTCTCTAAATTTACCTTTTGTGAAGGAGACTAATAGATTACTAACAGTGACGTCAAATTGTGAGTTAGGCCTACTCACAAGTGCAAAGTGATCCCCATTTCCCGTAGCTCTTTGACTGCCAGCAGAGGGGAGATGATGTCCTGGCCACACCTGTCGTAGATCAGCACCTTCCATACCGGCTCAGCAGCAGTGTTTTTCAACTGAGGACCGTTGAAATTCAGCATGCGCTTCAAGGCAGCTAGGGACACAGAAGAACACAGTATAAAGTCATAGCTTGCCCAATGTTTAAGATTATGAAAATTCTGAGCGCTAAAAAGTTATTCAATGTGTATTAACTGCTTGAAATAGTATGATTAATCTGACAGATGATGTATCCATTTTGCCAATCTGAAGTGGGCACGTTGGAAATATTTGTGCAATATGTGCTGCATATCCCACTACACCCCCTATAAAACCCACGGGACAGCGGAAGACTACAACCACCACTTTTGCCCCACTAAACATAGCACAGGACTGGGGGACCTGGGACAGTCCTGGGACTTTGCCATACCATTTCTGCCACTCAATGATGAGTGAAATTGTGAAATAGTTAGATGAGTGAAATAGTTAACTAGCTACTGTTAGATACCCATCCACATGTTTATGAGGGGCAATGGAACGATATAGCAGTCTGTCTAGCTGTATCTGTCAGTCTGTCCGGCGACAACATATTCACTGCGTTGCATTCATGTTTCTTGACATGACAACCACATCAAAGTGACTATTGAATTCAAGAGTAGCGGTAAGTTTAGGCTAGCCATCCGACTTGTTGCTGCTTTATAATACTACTGTAGAGTTAGTTAGCTAGCTAGCTAGTAAGTTAGCTTAGCATTGATTTTCTCATGAACTGGCTGTTCGTCGTGGCAGATCGTTTTTTTCAACAGCTAGCTAGGATCAGAGTAAAATAGTAGGTTTTATTCGACAGCCTATGCTGATTAAAAATGAATAAACTAAACCATTGACAGACCTGCCTGCTTTCCCCGGACGGAGGCAGCCATCTTTTCTGTTTATGCAGTGACACGGGGCATCGGATGACGAGCCAGCCAAGTCTCGTTCGATGACGTCTGCTATATCGCACATTACCGCGATCTCACATGGGGCTTTCAATGCCGCGTTCAAAACACCTGAGAAGTCGGAAATCTCCGACCTCCGACTTCAATGCGTTAAAGAAAAGGGATCTCGGGAAAAATCGATTTGAACGGTCATCCAACTCGGAAATCCAACTCGGTAACTCGGGCCTTGACCTAGTATTTTTCCGAGACCCAGTTCTTTTGAACGCAGCCCAAGACAACTGGGAACTCGGAAAATACGAGGTCAAATCATGACGTCAGTGATCTTCAGTTAGAAAAGTCAGAGTTCTAAAATTTGAGAGAAATAAGCTTTTTTTGCGTATGGAAAATTTAGGGGATCTTTTGATTTCAGCTCATGAAACATGGGACCAGCACTTTACATGTTGCTTTTATATTTTTGTTCAGTGTATTTTTCCCAGTCTGAGCTCGTTTTTTCCCCCCCACTTTCCAGTTGTCTTGAACGCTCTGAAGACAGAAGTCTGAGATTTCTGAGATCCGAGTTGTTTTGAACGCAGCATCATGTACATGAGGGTGTACCTGGGCTTCGCTATCACAACTTTTGATGAAGAGAGTAGCCCCTACTTTACTCTTAGATCCTTGTAAATAGGAAATAAAATCTATCATTGATCTGCTTGATTCAATTAGGTTTCCCAGATCCTCACTAGGATAGATGATGGCAAAGTGATAGGGTCCACTGAAATGCACTTATCTCATGTATTTTGAATACTGTTGTGGGGGGAGAAAAAATCTACCATCGCAAGTATTTTTCAGAGAGTAAATGCAAACATTTAATTTGGCATGAGTAAAATGCTTGAGAATGAAGTTACTAAAAACACAAGACATGCAATCTGAACAGTACATAACAAACAACAGAAGCTAGAACAATCACAATAATTGAAAATGTAGCATATAATTGACAGAACTTTACGCAAAACATTGATACACAGACACTTAAGTATGTACAATATAAAATAAATCAAAAAAGAAAAGAAAATCCCAAAAGAGGAAGCAACAAACATTTAATACCAAACATATTACATTTCAAACAAAGAAATGACCATTCAAACAATTGTAGCACCTAAAGTCATGCTCTTTCTGACAATTCAATTAGTGTACAATTGTTTCTAAAAGTCAACAGCTAAAGCCTATAATACAAAAAGCATATTATCTATGTCATGATGGAAATACCCTACCCAAACCTGAAACTCTATGAGGCGAGTAAATATCAACTGAAGTCCAAAATCCAAATGAAATGTTGTGCTTATATAGATCAATACTGTCTGTGTGTCTGTGATCAAATGCTCTGCAAGACTGTGAGTTGGCACACTGCATACTCCATGTGCTTCTTGAAGGCCTGGTAGGACGGCACCACAGGCAGCAGAAGGCGGTTGGAGCTGGGCTGGCTCATAGGGAAGGCCCCGGCCGGGTCCAGTGGATGGAGGAAGGATAAGGTAGGGCTGGGCCTGAACCCTACGGCTGGTACCACATCAGCTGAGGTGGCAAAGATGAGCACGTCCTCTAGCGATGTTGCACATCTGCCAACTGAAACCAGAGAACAGAGAGACTGGTGATGATGGGTAATATATGGAGACAGACAGGGACAATCATGTGATTGTGTTAGTATTACAGAATATCATTGTAATAGTAGTGTACACTGTCTGAACGGCCTTCGAGTGTCTGTACTGCTTGTTCTTCTTGGCTTTATATGTACACTACCATTCAAAAGTTTGGGGTCACTTTGAAATGTCCTTGTTTTCCATGAAAACATACATGAAATGAGTTTGAATAGGTAATATAGCAAAATGCATAGGAAATGTAGTCATTGACAAGGTTAGAAATGATGATTTTTAATACAAATAATAATTGTGTCCTTCAAACTTTGCTTTCGTCAAAGAATCCTCCATTTGCAGCAATTACAGCCTTGCTGTTCTAGTTGTCAATTTGTTGAGGTAATCTGAAGAGATGTCACCCCATGCTTCCTGAAGCACCTCCCACAAGTTGGATTGGCTTGATGGGCACTTCTTACATACCATACGGTCAAGCAGCTCCCACAACAGCTCAATAGGGTTGAGATCCGGTGACTGTGCTGGCCACTCCATTATAGACAGAATACCAGCTGACTGCTTCTTCACTAAATAGTTATTGCATAGTTTGGAGCTGGGCTTTGGGTCATTGTCGTTGTAGGAGGAAATTGGCTCCAATCAAGCGCTGTCCACAGGGTATGGCATGGCGTTGCAAAATGGAGTGATAGCCTTCCTTCTTCAAGATCCCTTTTACCCTGTACAAATCTCCCACTTTACCACCCCCAGACCATCATATTGCCTCCATCATATTGCCTCCACCATGCACCAGCACTCCTCCAGCATCTTTTCATTTGGTCTGCGTCTCACAAATGTTCTTCTTTGTGATCCTAACACCTCAAACTTCGATTCGTCTGTCCATAACACTTTTTTTCCAATCTTCCTCTGTCCAGTGTCTGTGTTCTTTTGCCCATCTTAATCTTTTATTTTTATTGGCCAGTCTGAGATATGGCTTTTTCTTTGCAACTCTGCCTAGAAGGTCAGCATCCTGGAGTCGCCTCATCACTGTTGACGTTGAGACTGGTGTTTTGCGGGTACTATTTAATGAAGCTGCCAGTTGAGGACCTGTGAGGTGTCTGTTTCTCAAACTAGACACTAATGTATTTGTCCTCTTGCTCAGTTGTGCACCGGGGCCTCCCACTCCTCTTTCTATTCTGGTTAGAGGCAGTTTGCGCTGTTCTGTGAAGGGAGTAGTACACAGCGTTGTACGAGATCTTCAGTTTCTTGGCAATTTCTCGCATGGAATAGCCTTCATTTCTCAGAACAAGAATAGACTGACAAGTTTCAGAATAAAGTTATTTGTTTCTAGCCATTTTGATTCTGTAATCGAACCCACAATTGTTGATGCTCCAGATACTCAACTAGTCTCAAGAAGGCCAGTTTTATTGCTTCTTTAATCAGCACAACAGTTTTCAGCTGTGCTAACATAATTGCAAAAGGGTTTTCTAATGATCAATTAGCCTTTTAAAATGATAAACTTGGATTAGCAAACACAACGTGCCATTGGAACACAGGACTGATGGTTGCTGATAATGGGCCTCTGTACGCCTATGTAGATATTCCATTAAAAATCAGCCGTTTCCAGCTACAATAGCCATTTACAACATCAACAATGTCTACACTGTATTTCTGATCAATTTGATGTTATTTTAAATGGACAAAAAAATTGCTTTTCTTTCGAAAACAAGGACATTTCTAAGTGACCCCAAACTTTTGAACGGTAGTGTATATCTTGAATTATCAAATAAATATTTCAATCAATGAGTCATTGGAGGTCAAAGTACCTTCACACTCCAGTAGGTAGTGTCTCCAGAAGGTGACCACAGTGCTCTCCTTCCCTGCGGTCTCTTCCTGGTCTGAGAACTGAACAGTGAAGAGGGCTGCCATTGTGTCAGCAGTCAGCTTGTCATGAGAGGAACAGAACAGACCAACAAAGGCTCCTGGAAACATCTGGACCTGGTCAAACACACCAAGGGTTTTCAGACCCTCACAGAACCTACAAACACAATGGTTAAACAAAATATAGTTAACAGAAACCAGGCTTACAGTGAGGGAAAAAAGTATTTGATCCCCTGCTGATTTTGTACGTTTGCCAACTGACAAAGACATGATCAGTCTATAATTTTAATGGTAGGTTTATTTGAACAGTGAGAGACAGAATAACAACAAAAAAATCCAGAAAAACGCATGTCAAAGATGTTATAAATTGATTTGCATTTTAATGAGGGAAATAAGTATTTGACCCCTCTGCAAAACATGACTTTAGTACTTGGTGGCAAAACCCTTGTTGGCAATCACAGAGGTCAGACGTTTCTTGTAGTTGGCCACCAGGTTTTCACACATCTCAGGAGGGATTTTGTCCCACTCCTCTTTGCAGATCTTCTCCAAGTCATTAAGGTTTTGAGGCTGACGTTTGGCAACTCAAACCTTCAGCTCCCTCCACAGATTTTGGGATTAAGGTCTGGAGACTGGCTAGGCCACTCCAGGACCTTAATGTGCTTCTTCTTGAACCACTCCTTTGTTTCCTTGGCCGTGTGTTTTGGGTCATTGTCATGCTGGAATACCCATCCACGACCCATTTTCAATGCCCTGGCTGAGGGAAGGAGGTTCTCACCCAATATTTGACGGCCCCGTCCATCGTCCCTTTGATGCAGTGAAGTTGTCCTGTCCCCTTAGCAGAAAAACACCCCCAAAGCATAATGTTTCCACCTCCATGTTTGATGGTGGGGATGGTGTTCTTGGGGTCATAGGCAGCATTCCTCCTCCTCCAAACACAGGTGAGTTGAGTTGATGCCAAAGAGCTCGATATTGGTCTCATCTGACCACAACACTTTCACCCAGTTCTCCTCTGAATCATTCAGATGTTCATTGGCAAACTTCAGACGGGCCTGTATATGTGCTTTCTTGAGCAGGGGGACCTTGCGGGCGCTGCAGGATTTCAGCCCTTCACGGCGTAGTGTGTTACCAATTGTTTTCTTGGTGACTATGGTCCCCAGCTGCCTTGAGATCATTGACAAGATCCTCCCGTGTAGTTCTGGGCTGATTCCTCACCGTTCTCATGACCATTGCAACTCCACGAGGTGAGATCTTGCATGGAGCCCCAGGCTGAGGGAGATTGACAGTTCTTTTGTGTTTCTTCCATTTGCGAATAATCGCACCAACTGTTGTCACCTTCTCACCAAGCTGCTTGGCGATGGTCTTGTAGCCCATTCCAGCCTTGTGTAGGTCTACAATCTTGTCCCTGACATCCTTGGAGAGCTCTTTGGTCTTGGCCATGGTGGAGAGTTTGGAATCTGATTGATTGATTGCTTGCTTCTGTGGACAGGTGTCTTTTATACAGGTAACAAGCTGAGATTAGGAACACTCCCTTTAAGAGTGTACTCCTAATATCAGCTCGTTACCTGTATAAAAGACACCTGGGAGCCAGAAATCTTTCTGATTGAGAGGGGGTCAAATACTTATTTCCCTCATTAAAATGCAAATCAATTTATAACATTTTTGACATGCATTTTTCTGGATTTTGTTGTTGTTATTCTGTCTCTCACTTTTCAAATAAACCTACCATTAAAATTATAGACTGATCATTTCTTTGTCAGTGGGCAAACGTACAAAATCAGCAGGGGATCAAATACTTTTTTTCCCTCACTGTACAATGTCTTAAACATAGTTACAGTAGAATACTAGTGACAGTTTAAAATACAAATAATCTATGTTTATATGTTCGAGCAATGATCAAATATTTTGAGATGGTGAAACAGGGTCAAAAAGGTACTCTTATTCTAAATGAAATACCCATAGATATACAAACCTTTGGACAGGTAACTGCATTCTTGTTATTAGGTGGAAGCTTACAATGTCTTTAACGAGTGTGTCTTTGTCCGAAAGGCTCTCAACTGGTCTTGTGCACCCAGCCACTTCCAGGTATTCTGAAGCTGACTCCATTGCCTCTCTCAATTCCTCCAAGGACTTGGATTCCTGAATCTGAACCAGAAGAGTTGGCAAATGAGTTAAAGGATTGGTTAACCATTTTTGAACCAAATCTTTATTTTTGATGTAAATGACATGTTATAGGGTCCAGACACTTTTTAGCGATTTCACTTGGTTTTGAGAAACTATCGCCACCTGCAATAGACTTCCTCATTGCTCGTTTTGCATTATGGGGGCTACGGAAAAACATGAACAAGGCTCCAAAAACACCCAAATATGTCCTTTTAGTAACGGCAAAGCTCTCAGTATAGTGACGCAGGTCTTTAGATGTTGTACACATGAAATTGTGTAATTCCTAACTTTATTAGCAATGTTATGTTCCATTTTGTGCGACTCAAGCATTTTCCCCTACCAGCTGTTCTGCGCGGGCTACACAGAGAAGAACCTTTCCAAAAGGACATATTTGGGTGTTTTTGGAGCCCTTGTTCATGTTTTTCCGTAGCCCCCATATTGCAGAACGAGCAATGAGGAAGTCTATTGCGCGTGGGGATAGTGTCTCAAAACCAAGTGATATCGCGAAAAAGTGTCTGGACCCTTCTATAACATGCCATTTACATGAAAAATTGAGATTTAGTTCATAAATAGTGAACCAATCCTTTAAAACCTTTGTAACATTAGAATGTCCAACTAAAACAATATATTCAGCATCTAAGAGAGTAAAGAGTCATGTTAAAATATGTACCTTCTTGACTTTGTCTGTGAACAGAGTGTTGCCCATGTCCTCCACAGTGAGAGGTGTATCCATGGGGAAGTTGAACAGACACAAGTAGAGAGCCCTGGAGAAGAAGCCCAGAGGAGGTCCCCCGTGGACCAGACACAGGGACAGAAGACACCCCACATCAAAGTAGATGTCCTCCCTCAGAGCTAGGGAAACAGGACGTAGAAATGAGACAACACAGAGAAGCCAGTGCTTGACTTGGGCAGGAGCTCACCGGAGCTGAGTACCGGCACCTCAAATGTTCTACTGCTTGAACTCCTGTTCCTATTACAGAATATTACCTCAAAGTATTGTGGAGCTCCTGCACCTACAGTTGTAGTCGGAAGTTTACATACACTTTGGTCGGAGTCATTAAAACTTGTTTTTCAACCACTCCACAAATGTATTGTGCATGACACAAGTCATTTTTCCAACAATTGTTTACAGACAGATTATTTCACTTATAATTCACTGTATCACAATTCCAGTGGGTCAGAAGTTTACATACACTAAGTTGACTGTGCCTTTAAACAGCTTGGAAAATTCCAGAAAATTACGGCATGGCTTTAGAAGCTTCTGATAGGCTAATTGACATAATTTGAGTCAATTGGAGGTGTACCTGTGGATGTATTTCAAGGCCTACCTTCAAACTCAGTGCCTCTTTGCTTGACATCATGGGAAAATCAAAAGAAATCAGCCAAGACCTCAGAAGAAAAATTGTAGACCTCCACAAGTCTGGTTCATCCTTGGGAGCAATTTCCAAATGCCTGAAGGTACCACGTTCATCTGTACAAACAATAGTATGCAAGTATAAACACCATGGGACCACGCAGCCGTCATATCGCTCAGGAAGGAGACGCGTTCTGTCTCCTAGAGATGAACGTACTTTGGTGCGAAAAGTGCAAATCAATCCCAGAACAACAGCAAAGGTCCTTGTGAAGATGCTGGAGGAAACAGGTACAAAAGTATCTATATCCACAATAAAACAAGTCCTATATCGACATAACCTGAAAGGCCGCTCAGCAAGGAAGAAGCCACTGCTCCAAAACCGCCATAAAAAAGCCAGACTACGGTTTGCAACTGCACATGGGGACAAAGATCGTACTTTTTGGAGAAATGTTCTCTGGTCTGATTAAACAAAAATAGAACTGTTTGGCCATAATGACCATCGTTATGTTTGGAGAAAAAAGAGGGTGGCTTGCAAGCCGAAGAACACCATCCCAACTGTGAAGCACAGGGGTGGCAGCATCATGCTGTGTGGGTGCTTTGCTGCAGGAGGGACTGGTGCACTTTACAAAATAGATGGCATCATGAGGAAGGAAAATTATGTGGAAATATTGAAGCAACATCTCAAGACATCAGTCAGGAAGTTAAAGCTTGGTCGCAAATGGGTCTTCCAAATGGACAATGACCCCAAGCATACTTCCAAATTTGTGGCAAAATGGCTTAAGGACAACAAAGTCAATGTATTGGAGTGGCCATCACAAAGCCCTGACCTCAATCCTATAGAACATTTGTGGGCAGAACTGAAAAAGCGTGTGGGAGCAAGGAGGCCTACAAACCTGACTCAGTTTACACCAGCTCTGTCAGGAGGAATGGGCCAAACTTCACCCAACTTATTGCGGGAAGCTTGTGGAAGGCTACCCGAAATGTTTGACCCAAGTTAAACAATTTAAAGGCAATGCTACCAAATACTAATTGAGTGTATGTAAACTTCTGACCCACTGGGAATGTGATGAAAGAAATAAAAGCTGAAATAAATCATTCTCTCTACTATTATTCTGACATTTCACATTCTTAAAATAAAGTGGTGATCCTAACTGTCCTAAGGCAGGGAAGTTTTACTAGGATTAAATGTCAGGAATTGTGAAAAACTGAGTTTAAATGTATTTGGCTAAGGTGTATGTAAACTTCCGACTTCAACTTTAAATATAAATAGTACCAGCACCCAAAATAAGTACCGGCACCTATTTCAGTCCAAGTCAAGCACAAAACCACATCCCCAGTATTTGATAACAATATAACTCCCAAATGTAACTATGAATGTGAGTTCATGACCCAACACTTCTATCAACAAGCAAGTGATGGTGCTAGTGTGAGTTTATGATAGAGAGCTGGAGAGTGTTTTGAACAGGGGGGGTATTGCCCTACCTCGTGCGTTGAGGGTCAGGGTCTTGGCACCATCCGGACCTTCAAAGACAGTGTTCTGCAGCTGCTGCACCAGGAGCCTGAGGAAGTGCCGGGTGTTGCCAGGGCAGGTGTCGGGGCTGGAATTGTGCTTGCTGCTTGTGAACCTCACCGCAAGGGCATGGGACGGGTTGAAGTCACTCCTCTTCACTAGCTCCATGGCAGCCTCCAGGACCTTGTTTCCATTCACCACCACTGGCATGGATAGTTGGTGCTGTGATGTCTGACTGGCAAGCTCCTGTAGGATCTCTCTAGCAGAGCCTCCCAACAAAAATGGCCTGCCAATCATTAAATAATCTATGTTTATCTCCAATTTGTTGATGTGATCTTAGCACAACATGCAGTACCAGTAAAAAGTTTGGACACACCTACTCATTCAAGGGTTTTTCTTTACTTTTACTATTTTCTACATAGAATAATAATGAAGACATCAAAACTATGAAATAACACATATGGAATCATGTAGTAACCAAAAAATATATTTTTAATATATTTTATATCAAATAGCCACCCTTTGCCTTGATGACAGCTTTTCACACTCTTGGCATTCTCTCAACCAGCTTCACCTGGAATGCTTTTCCAACAGTCTTGAAGGAGTTCCCACATATGCTGAGCACTTGTTGGCTACTTTTCCTTCACTCTGCCGTCCGACACATCCTAAACCATCTCAATTGGGTTGAGGTCGGGGGATTTTTATTTTTATTTTTTTTATTTCACCTTTATTTAACCAGGTAAGCCAGTTGAGAACAGGTTCTCATTTACAACTGCGACCTGGCCAAGATAAAGCAAAGTAGTGCAATAAAAACAACACAGAGTTACATATGGGGTAAAAAACATAAAGTCAGAAATACAACAGAAAATATATATACAGTGTGTGCAAATGTAGCAAGTTATGGAGGTAAGGCAATAAATAGGCTATAGTGCAGAATAATTACAATAGTATTAACACTGGAATGCTAGATGTGCAAGAGATTATGTGCAAATAGAGATACTGGGGTGCAAAAGAGCAAAATAAATAACAATATAGGGATGAGGTAGTTGGGTGGGCTAATTTCGGATGGGCTGTGTACAGGTGCAGTGATCGGTAAGGTGCTCTGACAACTGATGCTTAAAGTTATTGAGGGAGATAAGAGTCTCCAGCTTCAGAGATTTTTGCAATTCGTTCCAGTCATTGGCAGCAGAGAACTGGAAGGAATGGCGGCCAAAGGAGGTGTTGGCTTTGGGAATGACCAGTGAGATATACCTGCTGGAGCGCAGACTACGGGTGGGTGCTGCTATGGTGACCAATGAGCTAAGATAAGGCGGGGATTTGCCTAGCAGTGATTTATAGATGGCCTGGAGCCAGTGGGTTTGATGACGAACATGTAGTGAGGACCAGCCAACAAGAGCGTACAGGTCACAGTGGTGGGTAGTGTATGGGGCTTTGGAGACAAAACGGATGGCACTGTGATAGACTACATCCAATTTGCTGAGTAGAGTGTTGGAGGCTATTTTGTAAATGACATCGCCGAAGTCAAGGATAGGTAGGATAGTCAGTTTTACGAGGGCGTGTTTGGCAGCATGAGTGAAGGAGTTTTTATTGCGAAATAGGAAGCCGATTCTAGATTTAACTTTGGATTGGAGATTCTTTATGTGAGTCTGGAAGTTGAGTTTACAGTCTAACCAGACACCTAGGTATTTGTAGTTGTCCACATACTCTAGGTCAGACCCGTCGAGAGTGGTGATTCTAGTCGGGTGGGCGGGTGCCAGCAGCGTTCGATTGAAAAGCATGCATTTTGTTTTACTAGTGTTTAAGAGCAGTTGGAGGCTACTGAAGGATTGTTGTATGGCATTGAAGCTCGTTTGGAGGTTTGTTAACACAGTGTCCAATGAAGGGCCAGATGTATACAAAATGGTGTCGTCTGCGTAGAGGTGGATCTGAGAGTCACCAGCAGCAAGAGCGACATCATTGATATACACGGAGAAAAGTGTCGGCCCAAGAATTGAACCCTGTGGCACCCCCATAGAGACTGCCATAGGTCCAGACAACAGGCCCTCCGATTTGACACACTGAACTCTATCTGAGAAGTAGTTGGTGAACCAGGCGAGGCAGTCATTTGAGAAACCAAGGCTATTTAGTCTGCCAATAAGAATGCGGTGGTTGACAGAGTCGAAAGCCTTGGCCAGGTCGATGAAGACGGCTGCACAGTACTGTCTATTATCAATCGCGGTTATAATATCGTTTAGGACCTTGAGCGTGGCTGAAGTGCACCCGTGACCAGCTCGGAAACCGGATTGCATAGCGGAGAAGGTAAGGTGGTATTCGAAATGGTCGATGATCTGTTTGTTAACTTGGCTTTCGAATACTTTCGAAAGGCAGGGCAGGATGGATATAGGTCTGTAGCAGTTTGGATCTAGAGTGTCACCCCCTTTGAAGAGGGGGATGACCGCGGCAGCTTTCCAATCTCTGGGGATCTCAGACGTTATGAAAGAGAGGTTGAACAGACTAGTAATAGGGGTAGCGACAATTTCGGCGGCTAGTTTTAGAAAGAAAGGGTCCAGATTGTCTAGCCCAGCTGATTTGTAGGGGTCCAGATTTTGCAGCGCTTTCAAAACATCAGCTGTCTGAATTTGTGTGAAGGAGAAGCGGGGGGGGGCATGGGCAAGTTGCAGCAGAGGGTGCAGAGTTGGTGGCCGGGTTAGTGGTAGCCAGATGGAAAGCATGGCCAGCTGTAGCAAAATGCTTGTTGAAATTCTCGATTATTGTAGATTTATCGGTGGTGATAGTGTTTCCTAGCCTCAGTGCAGTGGGCAGCTGGGAGGAAGTGCTCTTATTCTCCATGGACTTTACAGTGTCCCAAAACTTTTTGGAGTTAGTGCTACAGGATGCAAATTTCTGTTTGAAAAAGTTAGCCTTTGCTTTCCTGACTGCTTGTGTATATTGGTTCCTAACTTCCCTGAAAAGTTGCATATCGCGGGGGCTATTTGATGCTAATGCTGTACGCCACAGGATGTTTTTGTGCTGGTCAAGGGCAGTCAAGTCTGAGGAGAACCAGGGGCTATATCGGTTCTTAGTTCTGTATTTTTTGAATGGGGCATGTTTATTTAAGATTGAGAGGAAATTACTTTTAAGGAACAACCAGGCATCCTCTACTGACGGAATGAGATCTATATCCATCCAGGATACCTGGGCCAGGTCAATTAGGAAGGCCTCCTCGCTAAAGTGTTTTAGGGAGCGTTTGACAGTGATGAGGGGTGGTCGTTTGACCGCGGACCCGTTACGGACGCAGGCAATAAGGCAGTGATCGCTGAGATCCTGGTTGAAGACAGCTGAGGTGTATTTAGAGGGTATGTTAGTCAGGATGATATCTATGAGGGTACCCATGTTTACGGATTTAGGGTTGTACCTGGTAGGTTCGTTGATAATTTGCGTGAGGTTGAGGGCATCTAGCTTGGATTGTAGGATGGCTGGGGTATTAAGCATATCCCAATTTAGGTCACCAAGCAGTACAAACTCTGAGGATAAATGGGGGGCAATCAATTCACATATGGTGTCCAGGGCACAGCTGGGGGCTGAGGGGGGTCTGTAGCAAGCGGCAACAGTGAGAGACTTATTTCTGGAAAGGTGGATTTTTAGAAGTAGAAGCTCAAACTGTTTGGGCACAGACCTGGATAGTATGATAGAGCTCTGCAGGCTATCTCTACAGTAGATTGCAACTCCACCCCCTTTGGCAGTTCTATCTAGACGGAAAATGTTATAGTTGGGGATGGAAATTTCAGAATTTTTGGTGGCCTTCCTGAGCCAGGATTCAGACACTGCTAGAACATCAGGGTTGGCAGAGTGTGCTAACGCAGTGAATAACTCAAACTTAGGAAGTAGACTTCTGATATTTATGTGCAAGAAACCAAGACTTTTGCGATTACAGAAGTCATCAAATGATAGCGCCTGGGGAGTAGGAGTGATACTGAGGGCTGCAGGGCCTGGGTTAGCCTCTACATCACCAGAGGAACAGAGGAGGACTAGAATAAGGATACGGCTAAAGGCTTTAAGAACTGGTCTTCTAGTGCGTTGGGTACATAGAATAAAGGGGGCAGATTTCCGGGTGTTATAGAAAAGATTCAGGGCATTATGTACAGACAAGGATATGGAAGGATATGAGTAAAGTGGAGGTAAACCTAAGCGTTGGGTAACAATGAAAGAGATAGCATCGCTGGAGGCATCAATTGAGTCGGTCTCAGCGTGTATTGGGGGAGGGGCAAAGGAGCTATCTAAGGCAGGTTTAGCTAGGCTGGGGGGTCTACAGTGATATAGTACAATTAGAAATAACCGAAACAACAATAAACTAACCATGTTTGGGCTGAGGCTAAACATAAACAGGATGTAGTACCGTAAAAAGGAACAGTCCAGCAGATATCAGCTGTATAGCTGAGTTATCATAAGGTCCGGTGGTGAAGTACTAGTGAGTAAGAGGCCACGGCTAGCGTGTGCTAGCGGGCCAGGGCTAGCAGATGGATGGAATCTTCGTGGTTAACGTCGTAACCACATCAGACGATTTCGTCGGCAGACCAGTCGTGTAGGATCGGCGGGGCTCCGTGTCAACACTAGGTGGTCCCGTCCGGTTGACAGAGAGGTAGATAGCCGGGAGATGGGCCTAGCTCAGGATGATTAGCCAGACCACAGCGTCCGTTTTGTTGTAGCCAGCTGGTAGCGATGAATCCGGAGTTAAAGGTCCAGTGATTCAGTGATTCCGGCGGAAAAACTGATATGTTCTGGGTCGATAACGCGCTGTGCAAACTGGCCGAATATCCGGTGATCAATGTCCAGTGATTAAAATTAATCCCGCAGAAACAAATCCAATGTTCTGGGTGAAACACCGCTAGCTATGGCTAATAGCAAGTAGCTAGTTAGCTGGCTAGCTGGCTAGCTAGTTTCACTGGAGATTCTAGATAAAAGGTAAGTCAATAATAGAATCCGTTCATTGTGGAGGCCAGGTCATCTGATGCAGCACTCCATCACTCTCCTTCTTGGTAAAATAGCCCTTACACAGCCTGGAGGTGTGTTGGGTCATTGTCCTGTTAAAAAACAAATGATAGTCCCACTAAGCCCAAACCAGATGGGATGGCGTATCGCTGCAGAATGCTGTGGTAGCCATGCTGGTTAAGTGTGCCTTGAATTCTAAATAAATCACAGACAGTGTCACCAGCAAAGCACCCCCACACCATAACACCTCTTCCTCCATGATTTATGGTGGGAACTACACATGCATGATTTATGGTGGGAACTACACATGCGGAGATCATTCGTTCACCCACACCGCGTCTCACAAAGACACGGCGGTTGGAACCAAAAATCTCCAATTTGGACTCCAGACCAAAGGACAAATTTCCACCGTTTAAATGTCCATTGCTCGTGTTTCTTGGCCCAAGTAGGTCTCTTCTTCTTATTGGTGTCCTTTAGTAGTGGTTTCTTTGCAGGAATTCGACCATGAAGGCCTGATCAACACAGTCCCCTCTGAACAGTTGATCTTGAGATGTGTCTGTTACTTGAACTCTGTGAAGCATTTCTTTGGGCTGCAATTTCTGAGGCTGGTAACTCTAATGAACGTATCCTCTGCAGCAGAGGTAACTCTGGGTCTTCGGCTCCTGTGGCGGTCCTCATGAGAGCCAGTTTCATCATAGCGCTTGATGGTTTTTGCGACTGCACTTGAAGAAACTTTCAAAGTTCTTGAAATGTTCCGTATTGACTGACCTTCATGTCTTAAAGTAATGATGCAATGTTGTTTCTCTTTGCTTATTTGAGCTGTTCTTGCCATAATATGGACTTGTTTTTTTACCAAACAGGGCTATCTTCTGTAAACCTTGTCACAACACAACTGATTGGCTCAAACGCATTAAGAAGGAAAGAAATTCCACAAATTAACTTTTAAGAAGACACACCTGTTAATTGAAATGCATTCCAGGTGACTACCTCATGAAGCTGGTTGCGAGAATGCCAAGAGTGTGCAAAGCTGTCATCAAGGCAAAGGGTGGCTATTTGAAGAATCTCAAATATAAAATATATTTTGATTTGTTTAACACTTTTTTGGTTACTACATGAGTCCATATCTGTTTTTTCATAGTTTTTATGTCTTCACTATTATTCTACAATGTAAGAAATAGTAAAAATAAAGAAAAACCATTGAATGAGTAGGTGTGTCCAAACTTTTGACTGGTAGAGTATAAGGAAAGACCAAAAAACAATTCCCCTAGAAAACATTTGGACTTGGTCTATGGCGGCAAGTATATATATATTTTTTACGTATTTTATATTTTTATTGATAGGTACCGTGGATAAGTTATTGAGATGGGGAGAGAGGGGACTTGGAATGGAGAGTGGCGCAGTCAGGGTTTGAACCCATGCCTCCAGGTGCAATGCATAGTCACTATCAATAGACCAGCCCCCGGCTGAAAGGCGCCAAGGATTTTTGTGTGAAAAAATTCTAAACAATAATGTACTGTACCTTTTACAGACTATGGGTGATTGGCGAGGGGTCAGGGTAAGACTCCTTTTAGAAGACCTGCTTCTTCTCTGCCCACCGGGCTGTGGAGAGTCAGTGTGTCTGGCGAGTGAAGCTAAACAAAAAAGAACACTGATTATCACAGAGAGAGAGAGTAGACTTCATAAAGACCATAATAAAAGCAGTTCTTCATTCCTATCATAACTGGTCTGGTCATAACTTCACTGCCCAGTTAAACCAAAACAAACGCAGTATGGCAAATAACCTACCTGTCCCATCCACAGCTGCTGCACAGTCCTCACAAGCCCAGTTAGTCTCGTCAAGTTTGAGGGAAGCACATTTTCGATGGGTGCCACTAGAGCCACAGAGGGCACAGCGCAGTATTTGAAACCATCTGAAAACCAAAAAGACATACGAGTGAGACTCAAATTCATTTTAGCGATAAACACATTTTGGTCAGTCAACCATTTCAGCCACACACACACTACAGTAGAGCTTACCCAGTGCGTGAAGAGCATGTCCGACCATTGTGGGAGAGACATTTTTTGGCATCACAGTGCTGGTACACCTGCAGTAACTCTCCATAGGCATTTTCTTCCAGCTCCCAGGATGCATCTCTATGGCACACACATACAGAATACTTTAGTTAAAACTCATAACGCCACAACACTAATGCAAGAGTACTTTATTTGTCCAACTGTTACATCAGAAATGTGTCTTCTGCTGTGCTGTGACTGCTGTCAACCCCGCCCCACACAACACACAATCAGAGACGCTGGACCATACATACAGTAGACACTGGAAAAGGTATAGGGCAGTGATAAATAATGTTCTAGAAGGTAAATAATACCTCTCAGGTATGTGGACTCCCATCCGGAGCATCTCCTGCTGGAACATGTCCTTGTTGTTGCACAGAGTGCATCTGAAGAAGAACATGGCAGCACTATGAGCCTGGTTCTGGAGGAATACATTGGAAATAGATAAGAGAATGCCGGCAGTCACTTACAAGCATTCATAAACTCTTTATAAGGCCATCATAGATGCTTCACAAATCCCATATATGCAAATGTAATGCTATATAGAGGGTGAAATAAGGGTTATGCCACACTGTAGCACATTGTAAGGACCACATTGCAAGGAACTGTTAAAACACCTTTTATATAGTATGAAAAATAATTTATTCCCACATTCACTCAAGAGGGTCATAGCTAGTCTGGGATGTAGCTACCTGCACACAGTCTCTGTGAAACCAGCTGCCATGGCAGGCAGGACATTTGAGAATGGAGTAGGAGAGGACAGGCTCTATGGGGTCCAGACACACTGAGCAGGACATGGGCTCATTGACAGAAGCCGATACTGGCAAGGACTGGGTGGGACTGTGATCCTTGCAGTAGGACCTGGGGGAATACAATCAGAGATGCACCAAAGCAATAAAGCATGGCTTGTTGCTAATGTTTCTGTGAGATAAGAGTACTTCAACCAACTTTATGTAGAGGTGTAGCCAAAATTAAAAGTTCACAAGGAGAAATAGGCACAGCTCTCATTTCATTCTGATGAAGGTCAATATTACTTATTTTCTTTGAATGAATTATATATTACTAATCTCAAAAACAAGAGCCGAGCCTAATTCTCTCCTGTTACTACGTTTGCCATGGCTGTTGTCTACTATGTTTAGAATCTCTAGACACAACCCATACTAGAGCTGAGTGATATGGACAAAAAGTCATATCGTAATAAATGTCATTATTTTGCTGGATAACAATAAATACAACTATAAAAACCTTTTTTTTATGGACAGTTACTTTACATTAGTGGCAGGGCTCTATATTTGTTTCCCCAGTGCCAAGTTAGACACCTGAGATGGTAGCCTATTATTCAAAAAGTAAGCTATTTCATCGAACATATCCAGGGAATGCATGATTCATATTTTGATATGCAGCCTGTCAAAATAGGATCCAGTTGATCAGATTTATTTTAGGCTCTTCAGAGAATTTGACGACATCTTTGTGTATATTGGCCTATAGACTATATTATTCACCACCTGAGGAAGTGGGAACTCAAAAGACAGCTAGATTGCTAACTCTAAATATGATATTGTTGCTAGATAGCCATGTAAACTAATTGATTCATATATCAGTAAATGTAGGCTAATGTCCTACAAAAACTTCCCAGCACTAGGTCTAGGCTATTGATGTAGGCCTATTCACTGCAAATGGCTCGCTCTCCTCCGCGGGCGCATCCAAACCATACTACAGCATACTCTGGTTGTAAAGTGGTGTCATGAACTCAATATTATGAGCTGAGAAATAGATTATATTTGTAAAACTGTATTTTACCCACAACTGCATTTTGAACAACAGTCATATGCTTGTGCTTCTCAGAATGCACAAGCAGTGAGAGTCAGCAGCCTACAGCGAAACCGGGACAGGCACACACTTTCATAGCAGGACTCAACATAATGCATAGGCTATTACTGCTGACCATAGAACAATCTACAGGAACGTTGTGTAGCAAAATTACCAACATACGCAAAATGCTTTGGTAAGAGGAAGGCAATATCGGTGTCAGTGGCGGTCAGTGCCATTTATGATGAGGGAGGACGATGTTTTTTTTCATGAGCACTGCCTTATTTCTATTACAGCATATTGGATGACTGTCATTCATATTCCATTCACCCAGTTCAATGTAACGTCGATAGGTTTAGGCTACTACATGATACTCGAATTGTCCCTATACCCATCATGAGGTTGCTACAACCTAGCCTATGAATTAAAGTTTACAACGCGGGTGCACACAGGTCGAGTGAAAAAATGTGAGATGACAGACAGTGACACATGGACAGACAGTGACACATTCAATACCGCCTTGCACACTCTTGCCTGCACCTAATTTATCTAGGGTGTAATCATTAGTCTAACAGTTGCAAACAAGAGTTTCTATTGGACAAATTCAGGTATTTTTATCCCCGTTTCGTTTGCTTCCATTTTAAGAAACGTTTTTCAACAGAATCAGCTGAATGAATACACCCCTGATCACGCATAAAACACAGTTAACTTTCATTGCAGCCACATTGTATTCCTTCTCGCCTCTATGCACTCTCCGCCTCTCACCTTTTCCCAGCTGTATGTGAACAGGCAAAAAAACTAAATTAACCAGCTGCATTTGCTAGCTAAGTAAGTGAAACTGAAAGCAAAAAAAGAAAGAAAGATGAAATCTCTCTCTTGCTTCTCCTTCATTTTTGAAGAAATTAGTTTGTTGAAAACTGTTCAACTATTGTCTTTCTCTCTCTTTGAGTCAACTACTCACCACATTTTATGCACTGCAGTGCTAGCTAGCTGTAGCTTATGCTTTCAGTACTAGGTTCATTCGCTGATCCTTTGATTGGGTGGACAACATGTCAGTTCATGCTGCAAGAGCTCTGATAGGTTGGAGGACATCCTCCAGAAGTTGTCATAATTATTACTGTGTAAGTCTATGGAAGGGGGTGAGAACCAAGAGCCTCCTAGGTTTTGTATTGAAGTCAATGCACCAAGAGGAGGACGGAAGCTAGCTGTCCTCCGGCTACACCATGGTGCTACCCTACAGAGTGCTGTTGAGGCTACTGTAGACCTTAATTGCAAAATAGTGTGTTTTAATCAATTATTTGGTGACATGTGAATATATTTAGTATAGTTGTATCTAAAAATGATAACTTTTCAATGTTTTTACATAAAAATAAAATAAATGAAATTCACTGAGAAGGATGGTCCTCCCCTTCCTTCTCTGAGGAGCCTCCACTGATCGGTGTTGATAATTTTCGGATTATGTCACAGCTCTAATACCTACTGGTGATATATAATCATTGTCACTTACGAAATAAGTCTGTGAATTGAAAGATGAATTGGTGTTGTTTGCCACACGGAAAATGGACCTTTCTCTGGCAGCTTTTGATGTAGCACCCAACTGAGGCCACCATTCGTCTTGCAGACTGCACATCTCTAAACACAGGGTACACAGAAAGCAAAAAATTACATTTAGGACACAATCATGTTTTTGAACAAGAATCCAAGCAACCAGAAACGATTGAAGGCACATCTAAAATATGTACTGTATGTGTTTTGTGATAAAAGTGCTGCTTAGGCTTGGAGTGGACAAACACTCCAGGATTAGGTAACTAATACAACCTACATCATATAAATACTTGTTGGAAGCAGTAACGGCTGGTGCTG